TTCATGTTAATGAAATAGTAAATAAGGCTTTTCGAATGTTAGGCTTCATACTTAGAGTTGGTAAAGACTTTAAAAGACCATCTACTTTGATTCTGTTGTACAACAGTTTTGTACGGTCTATATTGGAATATGGCNTACGCACCACAGTTGTTCGTGATTTGGGTATTTATTTGGATTCCAGTTTGATTTTTGATGTTCATGTTAATGAAATAGTAAATAAGGCTTTTCGAATGTTAGGCTTCATACTTAGAGTTGGTAAAGACTTTAAAAGACCATCTACTTTGATTCTGTTGTACAACAGTTTTGTACGGTCTATATTGGAATATGGCTCCGTCACTTGGAATCCCCAATATAATATTTATATTCAGCGACTAGACAGAGTCCTTGTGTCACTTGTAGCTTAAAGAAAAGCTATTTTAAAATATTTATAAGGTGATTTAGTCCGATAAGTATTATAGTTTTATAGTGTAAGTTGATGTATAAAATATATTTTGTTTTTTTGTAACTTAAATTTCTGAATTTCTCTTCTCTGTTCACTGTCTACTTATATGTGATTTTGATTGTGGAAACATATTTGGTTATTGTATTAGCTATTTTTTTTAATATTATAAGTTTGTATTATACTGTTTGTTTCCCAAATAAATAAATACATATGATAAGTAAAATTAAGGTAAGATAAGAAAACAATACAAAAACATAAATGTAAATGAACCTAAAATTAAGATAATTAAATAATGTAATAATCTAAGGAATATAAATAGTTAATACTGATAAATAAATAAAGGAAGAGTAGAACAACTTTAAAAATATATAAAATTAAAAATGTTGGAGTAGATTAAGTGAACCTAAAATATGATAATAAAATTATGTAATAGCGTAAATAAATTTAAGCGGTGAACATTTAAAGACAAATCGTTGGTAACGAGGGATATAAATAAAAGAAGATTACAAAAAACTTACTAAAACCTGCATAAAATTAAAAAAAACGTAGAATAGATTAACTATGCTGAAATCCCAGAGGCGATAGTGCGAAGGAGGCGCGCGTGTGTGGGTGGTGGATGGGAAGGATGCTTCATAGAACTGGAATGAACGAGGTACATAACGATTCATTTGGAGTTGTTAGGTCTCCATTGGAGGAGCTCGGGTAGCTGTTAGCGAGTCTCATCCCTCCTGGCTGAGCCCGTGCAGCCGCCCTCCGGGCCACCAGTACTCCTTTAATCATAAAACAAAAACAGACAAAACAATCCACGCAGCCCCCGCGCCCTTGACCCGCGCCGCGCCGCGCCGGGACACGACCTCGATCATTCGCGACTCTTACGTACATATTAACGTATTTACGTATTGTCATGCAATATGTAATGCGCGTATTTGGATATTAACTTTTATTTGTTTATGTTTTTGTTTAATTTTACGTTTACAATGTAATTAGTAGGTGCTTCACGACACATGTTGCGTGTTTACTTAATGTTTGGAAGTGTGACGGCCGCGGGGTCGCGCGGGGCACGTCTGCCATTGTCATTGTCATTCATATTGATGGAAAATAAAACATTTCTGTAAATATTATGTATTTTCGACTTACGCAATTCATATGAATATAAAACTAGGTTCTTCCCGCGACTTCGTCCGCATGGAATAATTACTATGGCATAACGCTAAATTTTTCCCGCGACTTCATATACGGAGAAGTTAGCATTTAAGGACCAAAATAACACTTTTTAACCGACTTCAAAAGAGGAGGTTATGAATTCGACCTTTTTTTTATATTTATGTATGTTTACCGATTTCTCGAGAATGTTTGAACCGATTCTGATAATTCTTTTTTTTTTGGTTCGAAAGGGTATAACTTCTATAATGTTCCTGTAATCCATCAGGATCAGGATCTGATGATGAGATACTGGAGATATCCAGAAAAATCTACAATTTTCAAAGCCTATGTTGAAGTGATTTGGATGTTTCTTGTTATCGTGTGCCGCCGCGCACCGGCCGCGCGCACCGGCCGGCCGACGCCTAGTACCTACATCGTTAATACGCGCTTGATCATTATTTTGCTGCAATATCATTTTACTCGTAAAACTGCGATATCTTCTAAGATACTTATAAAATCAAATGATGTAAAGGGCAAATTTGTTTTAAATTAAATACTTGTAATGAACAACGTATTTATTTGGACTAGTGGCCCTGCAGTAGCCGAGATTCGACTATAATTAATTTAAATTATAAGTTTAAAAATTATTATGGTTCTATTGTCAAACACTATTATATTTCGATAATATAATCACAGTATTCGCCAAAACTGCACTATACTCGTAGATCAATAATATTAAAGACAAACAATATCAATCTATTTTCAATTCGACCACAGACTTTAAACAATAACAAAAGTTTCCCAATTGACAGTAAACAAAGAGTATATTTTTATGTAGGTATGTGTTGTGTCAAATACATGGTAGTGTGTGTAACGTTTTCTTTATTGATATAAAGTATCTTTTATGCAATTTTTTTTAAAAATTTCAGCATTGTGCACTCCGTCTCTATATTCTCTTTAAGTGTGAGAAATTTCATACTCCTCCGTCCGCGCAATTTTCGTAAAAAGGCGTACAAAGTTTTTGCTTTCTTTATTATTATTATAAGGATTAATATCATCTTTATAAAAACACCTTCACAAATGATGCCTTATTTTATTTAGAACACATTTGATTTGCATAAAAAAGGTTATAGTGAGCCAACCTTAAAACATAGACATATGCTGTCGCGGACTTTTTTTGTTAGAAGTTTTAAATGGGAACAATTCTGTCATACATTAATTTAGCGAAATTAACTGTTTCCGCTGCTTGCGCTGCGGAAGCTCTCCAAAGGAAAAAAAAGGCTCGATTTTGAACCATTCTTTATTAATGCTCTGCTCGTATTGGTCATAGCGTGATGTTATAAAGCCTATAGCCTTCCTCAATAAATGACCTATCTAATACTGAAAGAATTTTTCAAATCGGACTGGCAGTTTCTAAGATTAGCGCATTCAACCAAACAAACAAACAAACTCTTCTACTTTATAATATTAGTATATAATACTAGCTGACCCGGCAAACGTTGTGTTGCTTTAAATAAGATTTTTAGGGAAATTCTAGTGTAGAAAAATAAAACCTCATTCAACCACATAATACCTCAATATAACAAAAAAAAATTATCCAAAAAATAAAAATAAAATAAATGTTTGGGGTGGACAACCCTTATCACTTCGGGGTATGAAAAATAGATAGTAGCCGATTCTCAGACCTACTGAACATACTATTGATACACAAATAAAACCAAAAAAACATGGCTGAAAAATGTATAGTGAGTAAGACAGGAGACCGGCTTCGTCCTCATCCCTACTACGTGATGTTTGCTGGATGAGTGGTGACACCTGGCGGGGATAACTGATCGATTAATAGTTGATCAGTAGTCGACCGGCGAGGGCGGGAGATCAAATTGAATTTTTCAAAAAATCGGTTGTCTGTAAATTCATATGACAACGTCATAAGAAAATACTGATGGAATGGTTTCATTTTTCAATTATCACAATTTACGTTGCTATAAACAATTGACACCACATTCACTTTTCACTGAACTTCATACTTGACGACAACATGTAAATGTATTATTGTACAGCAGCTGTCCACGCGGATGCATCGCTCACTCAAGTAGGAGAGAGACAGAATCAGATGTCGAACAGCCGGCTCCATCGAATTATAAGACGTTGTGACATCAAAAAACTCATAATTAAAGGAACTTGAAATTATAAACTCTGAATAAGAATTACCGTACTACAATTATAATATTTGATTGCCATCTTGCAACCTTATTACGGCTCTGTGCATAGAATAAAAAAAATCAAAAATCAGGATGGAAAAATTGGGGTTGGTCGTATAAGAGTGAAAATTGAGAGTAATATTTATTTATTTATTATAAGTCATGAAAAAATCTTGCCAAAAAAATTAAAGTTTATAATTAACAAATAAAAAATAGGGGTTGATCGTAGAGGGATGAAAATTTAGGGTTGTATGTATTTTTGTATGCTGTATCATAAAAATATAAAAACAAAAGTTTTAGTTTAAAAAATAAAAATAAAATATTTAAGGGTGGACCACCCTTAACGTTTAGGAGGATGAAAAATATATGTTGTTTGATTCTCAACCCTGACCGATATGCACGCTAAGATTCACGAAAATCGGTCGAGCCGTTTCGGAGGAGTTCAATCACGCACCCCGTGACACGAGAATTTTATATATTAGATCTAATTAAGCCGGTTGCAGACCGAAAACTAAGCTATGCTAAAGCTAAACTAAGCAAGCTGGGCTAAGCTAAGAACACCTTTGCATCGCTAGATATGAATGCACCAGACGTCTTATCCTCTAGGCCACGAGGACTTCATCCCACTCTTCCGACTTTCCTCCACTAGCTCGGCGGCGACTGGTTGGTGCAGAGAGAGAGGCGCCCCTCAACATTATATATACTCCCCCTGCAACACACTGCACTCGCAATACACTTAATTGCTTTTGAATAAAGTAAGGGTGTTTTCGCTGCAATATGCCGACGATCTCTCGGACTACCTGTCGGCAGGCAGTAGGTGTCCGGACGTGATGGCGGCGCACGCTCTCAGAGCTGAGACTGAAGCTAGATCCCATCGGCTGCCCTGCGCTTCGATCAGATGTAGGTCTGACAAGACAGCGACCTTCAGTTGTGGAAGCCGCGCGTCACGGCACACGCTATATAACAGGAGGCGAGCTCGCGCTCTCTGCAGTGCCGCGTGCTCCACGCTCCGCAGGGTTGAGGCGGCTGTAGTATCCGTGTGTCGCGGCTCCTGTCACATTGCGCTGTCTCTCACGTCGGCCTTAATCCGGGATTCTATTTAATCAGTAAGTACACGGTTCTCAAAATACATATATGTGATGAAAATTTAATATTAAAAAAATATCGACTCAGCTCGTCACACTTGCTCGAAGCTCAAGTCGAAGCTCAAGTCGAAGCTGTCGTAAAGGGACATGTTTGTGACCGACACCAGCACGTTACATGAGGGCTGTATGTTGCAGGAGCGAGGAGGGACAATGGCTGATATGTCAGAAGAGGCTCCGATCCTTCCAAGGTTCTACGCGGGGAGATCGGTCTTCATTACGGGAGGCACCGGCTTTATGGGAAAGGTAATAGTCATGTCACACCCGGCGCCATCATAGAATACGATGTATTTAACAGATGCCTGAATCTCACCTATGATATTTTCAAGATAACGTTTCATATATATCTAGATCTTTCTCCTTCAACCTATGTCCATCCAATGCGCTAAATGCATGTCTCTTCATATGCACTTCCCATTCTTTGTGGTATCTTGCTTTGCACATCCAGTTGTTACCAATTCCAGTCCTTAAAACGAATATACAAAATACAAGTGATGTGTACTGTGCAGGTGTTGGTGGAGCGTCTACTGTCCACGTGCGCTGATATCCAGGAGGTGTTCCTCCTCGTGCGGGAGAAGAAGGACGTGCCGCCAGAGAAGAGGCTCGCTCAGTTCAAGCAGTGTCAGGTCCGACACCAGCAGCGCCGTGCTGCAGCGCACGGGACGAACTGTGTCGTATTTACAATTATATTGAGCACTCAGCTGACTACAACACGGATCAAAGGGCAGCTAGGCGCGCCGCAGGTCCACCCGGGACCGTGAGATCGGAGGCTACATTTGTTGACTCCACCCCCGCACAGCTAGCCTCGTTAACGATACGAATGTGGTTCTTAAGTGTGTATTGTAAGAATGCGCGAATTTTTAAACAAATTTCCGTTTTGTAGATCAAATATTGGCTGAGTGGTCGGGACCCCGCGCCGGCGCACTGTGTGCTCATTAAACATTGATTTTAGCAAGTACAACAATAACATCGGTCGTCTTACATACTTCCAGACACGTGCACTCTATCCACGTTTTATACAAATTATCGTGATTGCGGACTCGACCAGCACGTGCCCGCGTGACTAGATTCCGTGACCTACACACAAGAGTCAGGTGGCCCGCGACGTCAAGGGTCAGCTGTCTTACTCTCGCATAAAGACGTCCGTGTTCGAACAGTACTTCCATAATGACGTCGCACTGATCAGTACACGAGGGTAATATGTGTAGTGAGTAAGCCTTCGCTGAGGACTTGTAATGAAACCGCTCGCTCCGTTCCTCCCCGCCCCCTCCCAGGCCGGCTGTGCTCCGGACGATCAGTTGGCTTGTGTGTGCAGATATTCGAGAAGGTTCGGGAGCGGTGTCCGTGGCAGCTCGACAAGCTGCGCGTGCTCCCCGGGAACCTGGAGCGACCCCTGCTGGGACTCGAACCGGTGACTATCGCTCGACTACACCAGGTATGTTTATGAGATGTTTACATGAAAGCCACCACATATCTGGAGACATAATAAGTTGTATTGGAATGAGGAGGGTATGACCTAGATAAGCGGGAATGTTAGCCAGCAAAACTTAATGGAGATATTGGTGTGTACATTGGTCGGGTGCTCCCCCGCGCATACAGCCTACAGAGCGCGTCCGGTGCCCGCAGGTGTCGGTGGTGTTCCACAACGCTGCGACCCTCAAGTTCGACGAGGCTCTACGCAAGGCGGTCGACCAGAACGTGCGGGGCCTCCTGTCCCTCGTCGACGTGTGCGACGCCCTGCCGAACCTCGAGGTCAGTCGACCCACGTGTGTGCCCTGTATCCGTGTCGCCGGCGTGGTGCTTAGTGCGCTGAGTGTGAGTCCGTTGCGCAGGCGCTGGTGCACGTGTCCACTGCGTACAGCAACGCGGAGCTGTCGAGGGTGGAGGAGCGCGTGTACGCGGCGCCGGTGCCGCTGCAGCAGCTGCTGGCGCTGGCCGACGCGCTGCCGGACCAGCTCGCCGCCGACCTCACGCCCAGGTAGCCGGGACACGTGACAGTGCGTGCCGTCTCGAGCGGCGATGCGCCGGACACAAACAACATGTGTATGAATGTTTGCCGCAGGTACATCCACCCGAAGCCGAACACTTACACGTTCACGAAGGCGATGGCGGAGTGCGTGCTGCAGGAGAGGACCAGCCGCCGCTACCCGGTCGCCATCTTCCGACCGACCATAGGTAACTTGTTATTGAACTACATAACTATCGAACGCCGTGACGGAATGTCGCTGCTCGCTCGGCTACCTGCCCGACTTGCACTCGCTCACTTTACGTAATGTCTGTGTACTGCTCACATCTAATGTGCAATATTAAACTAACAATAAGCTAAACGATCCGCGGGGGAAGAACCGACGCGACGCGCCGACACACGACTAGTCGCGATGTCGCGGCGCACTGACTATCTTTAGATGTAACATACAGATGGATACTAATTTTAGTTCGTTATGAAGATCTATATTCCTCACGTACCACGGTACTCCGTAGGATATCCTACAGAAAAGGGGGCTTAAAGTCTTGAAAGGTGTTTATGTGAATGCGGGCCGCGTAAGCGAACACTACACTTGCGTTAAAACGGGACGTACGGAAGTTTTGTAGTTTCACCTTATTGCCGAGGGACTGTTTACGTCGCTTGCAGAGGGATAAAGACTTTAGAGTAAGAGCACGGCTCGGTCGCGCAAACCTTGTTCTGTCAAACGCAACCAGCCAAGTGGGCGGGGTCCCACACACGTGCCTACTTAATAGTATGGAAACGCCATCCGAGGTCTTATATAGGACTACATGTCCAGTTGTGTTTTGACTAATAGAATGCTCCGTAGGAATGGGTCGCGAAATCAAAGCTTACCCCATCCTAAGGGAAGAAAAGGGAGGGCAAGGGAGCCGGGGCAGTAAACGGTAACATAACTAAGGTACGTTGTGTGTTGTTCCAGTGATATCAGCAGACCGGCACCCGGTCCCGGGGTGGATAGAGAACTTGAACGGGCCGAGCGGCGTCGTCGTGGGGGTCGGCAAGGGGCTGATGCACGTGTTCAGAGCGAACCTCGCGCTGCGGGCCGACTTGATCCCGGTCGACGTCGTCGTGGACAACATGATCGCTGTTGCCTGGGAGACGGCCTCAGAACCGTAACGTCACACTGATACCTCGCGCCTCGCTAGCTAGACGAGCTCACGGCCAACGTGATTCTAAATGGTTACCTTAGCTCACAGCAGTATCTACTCGTGCGTATTCAATACGCTATACTACCAGTCCTCTACATAGGCAATACTCGTAGTGAGAGTGGAACCAAAGTAAGGGAAGATGTACAACGACGTTTTTTTTGGTCCTTCCACCAGTAATAATAGTCTAATGGATGTTGTGTGGGTTGTGTGTGGTGGTGGGAGGGGTTGCGTCGCGTTGTCGGCTCGCCTCACAGGGCGGTGTGTGTCGCGCAGGTGCGGCTCCTTGCGCGTGTACAACTGCGCGTCGGGCAAGCACGCGACGCGCTTGTCGGAGTTCAGAGCCACCGCAGTCCGCGTGCTCCGGAGCCTCCCGCTGGACTCAGGACTCTCCTATCCCTTTCTGATCGTGGTGCAGAACAGGTAATGGTAACGCGGACCACTCTGTGCTGATTGCACTAGCAGGACGCTACGCGATCAAGTTATCTGTAGATCTCTTGCACAGTGGGCAAGTGATTTTTTTATTATTGCCCTTGTAGGCCGACAAGCATACGGCCCACCTGATGGTGAGTGGTTACCGTCGTCCATGGACGTCAGCAATGTCAGGGGTAGAGCCAAGCCGCTGCCTACCAAAACGTAGCGTACGTATGATGTACATTTGCTTGCCACGGTCGTGTCCCGCGCGGCGAGTGGCGGGCGGCACTTGGCTTTGTTACGCGGAGGTACCTACTCTAGCATTTACACATTCATAAAGTCCACTAAAGTACATAAGTACTCTATTTGTTTTCGCAAATCGAAGTCGCCTCTACGACAAGCAGGTAAATAGTGTTTCCTAAGCTGATTTAGATGTGTCAAATGAGTCTCTTCAAATGAGCTTGAACTAAAGGAAGTAAAGCTATGTTCTTTATCTAATAACTCCATGGGTTCCATTGTTCGGCAACTATGAAATAAATGAAGTATAAAACTTCATTATAACGTGGATCTTATTTATGTATTAGCGAGTTAACAGTCGTCAGTCACAACCGACGGTGCTGTCGCTTATAAGTGATCAATTCATCCTTGCTCGTGATACATAATATATCCTATCTACCCTACATCTGTAATTTAATACACGCTTAAGCTTCATTTAAGCTTCCATTAGCTCCATATGTATGCGGGGGGAGGGGGGGGGGGCGGACAGATGCTAATATGTGTAATACGTTTAATATTAAAATATTGTTTGAGGTTAAGTCATTGGATGAAAATTTCATGACACGTATTCTTGATTTTCGTTAATTTAGTCAGTTGACTCAGTTTGATGTGCTCGTCCGGTGGTGAGTCTGCTGAGTGCCTCGCTCGAGATCACCGACAGTACTTGTGTTTGTACCGCGTGACTCCGACACATGCGACTCGAGGGTCCTCGGGAGATGAACGCTTGTACCTATCTCTCTGCACACGGCTCACGGTGTGCCTACATCCGCAGGTTCGTGTACCGGCTGCTGGAGTTCGTGCTGCAGACGGCGCCGCTGCACGTGGCCGAGTGCTTGCGGCAGACCGACGGGCAGAAGGCGAGGTACCACAATGTTCCTTGCGTTCAACTAAAAGTGCTTGTCGCCCAACAACGCAACTTACATTATTACAACGACATATTATGTTGCGAACCAACAGTCGCTCACACTGTGCAATTAGAACTGCGACCTCATCTTGTGGAGGGTTCAGTTTGTGCTATGTGTGACCGCTCTGTGGTCGCCGTGCACTGCACATACACACACACACACATCGTCGCGTGTCGGCAGGTTGAGTTTCACAACGGCAGGGCGGCGCATACGAGCGATGACGGAAGTGCTGCACTTCTTCGTGCTGCGCGAGTGGACGTTCCCGTGCGACAACATCCGGCGGCTGCGGCGGCGGCTCACGGCGCGCGACCGCCGCATCTACCACCTGGACGTCGCGGAGGTCCAGTGAGTTGACCACGCCCGCCCCGGGGCCGACATACCATACGTAACAATCACATCATCACATTCAATCGCATACGAAAATTAACATACTCCAGTATGACGTGTTCTTTGCTTAATTTGCTCCTTGATCATAGATGGCGCCTGTAACACAGTACACGTAACGTAAGTTCTAAGGTGAGCACTTAATCGACAATGAGTTATATCGTCATTTCATTCACAGTTGGGACGAATTATATTTAAACTTCGTGAAAGGAACAAGAAAATATTTACTTCAGGAAAAGGAAGAAGATTTGAAAGAAGCGCAAAAAAGAATGAAGAGGTTTGTCCAGGACATAAAATATGTTCTAATTAAATTTAAAAAAAATGTCTACTTACATGTTCGTTCCTCTTTTCAATAATTATTCGTGAATGTCGTAATCAACAAAACACCACTGGCCTTTATTAGAATATTTACGCCAACAAACAGTGGTTTATTCAAAGAACACAGAAATAATTTTGGTACAGAATATTAATGGTATCATTTTAATATGTTTATAATAGAGTCATTAGGTAATCCTATAAATTGATACGGAGTAATGAATAACTAAAATTCCTACAATATTTTAGTAAACTATCAAACTGAATTGATGTTTTTAATTGACTTTAATTCAATAAAAGCGAATGAACTAGGTACTGCGTAAACAGTAACCCAGTTATAATTTCTCAACTTTATTGTGTAGTTTGCATTCTTCGTAAAACGGAACTTATTTTGTTACAGCTAGCGATTAAATTTCAAAGATTATATTTGTTGTTTCAGATTGCGTCTCGTCCACTACACCACCATCGTGTTCCTCGTCTTACTATCCTACAAACTAATTAAGTTTTTCCTAAATTTGTTTATGAACAACTAAATATCCAGTGTTTAAGTCAATGGCGGATCCAGGGGGGGGGGGGGGTCATGGGGGTCATGACCACCCCCTGAGCTGGTTCCAGGATTTAGGTGGACCACTAATTGAATATAATGATTTTATTTATATATTTTGTCACCATACAGATTTTATGTAACTACATACCTTCAATATTTAATTAATTTAATATAATATAATAACTTTGTATAATGGCAAACGTCTGGGAACGAACGCATCTAAATTTGACTATATGACCCCCTCCTGGCGCCAAAGCTGGATCCGCCCTTGGTTTAAGCTAAAACATGAAATATGAGACTGGTTAAAGATGAGTGATTTTATTTATTTTTGCTTAAGTTGGTGGGTAAGCTCTCGACCCACCTGTGTTACGTGGTTACCGGAGCCCATACACATCTGCGATGAAAATGTCGCCACCTACCTCAAGACATAAGTTCTAAGTCTCAGTTTTAACAGTACAACGGCTGCCCTACCCTTCAAACCGAAACACATTACCTACTGCTTCACGGTAGAAATAGACAGGGTGGCGGTACCTACCCGTGCGGACTCAAGATGTCCTACCACTAGTAAAAGGTGATATGGTGTGATAAATATTATCCAATGAAATCCTGTGATAGTGAGCTAGCACACATTGACTCGCCACTGTAAAGCGGATGTTGCAATTAAAGTTTTGGAGATATTTATCAGCGTTTTTCATTTTCTATGACTATTCCTATTATCTATTTATTTCGATTAATTTTACAGTAAGACGTTTTAAAATATTAATTGAATATAAAACAAGCTGCTGTAATTATTATTGGCAATGAAAATCACATGCTGAAATAAAAGAAACAAATAGAAGTGATGCGTTAAACGAAACCCATTTTTGAAATTTCACCATGACAACATTGCATTTGCGCCAGAGACGTCAATGTCAAAAATAAGCCTGACAAAGAATTACGGACGAAATAATATAATTTGTACATAAAATATAAACAAAATATTCAACAGGCCATTAAAACTTCGCATAGGAAATTAATTCACGAAAAGTATATTGTAAGTACCTTTCCTTTGGATTATAAATATTAACTATGATTTGCACATCTGTCATTGCAATAAGTACATACATCGAGATTGATTATTTTGGTTTTTAATGCTGAGTAATTCTACGTCGGGAGCCGGGCATTGGCATACAGACACCTTTGTCACATTGCCAAACAAATATATGATCGTGCAAAGTACGCATTTTACGTATTTAAAAGAAATCAAAATTGTTTCAACCCATTTAAATAAGTTAACCCCATTTGCCATCTATTCTTTTGAATCTATACGAATAATTTGCATAATTAGACAGCAACATTCGTCTATCAAGAATCAGTTCTATATTATTGAAGAAGACTTGCAGATTTTGTAAACATAGAACATAAGGACTTGGCACATAACACAGCTTATTGTAGTCCATTTCGTGTTAAGTAGATCAAAACAGCAAACGGTATTAAACCACGCATACAGTTCAGGTATACAGCCCAATAGAATACATAAAATGAGAATTGCTTAATATTTACACTTAGGAAAACATAATGAGGTGACATATACCTAATCCTCCATATTCGGATCATGATTTGCCAAAAATAATAAAGAATAATTGGACATGTATTATAAATATCCCCTTGTGACTAATAAGACCTTCCTTTGCTTTAGATCACAAGCTCAATAAAATATGAATGTACTTAGTGTTTATGCTCAAGCGTAGCTCCATCCATCATAACGGAACTGGTCCTTTACACCACCTAATTTATAGCAACGGTCAACCCACTGCAAAATAGATTTTGAGATTAGTCATAATGAATCTGGCCGAACAAAGTAAATAGAATAATTTGGGTAATAACCTGAAAAAGTTCTCAACTCTTCTCTTCACTGTTAGACACAATATTCCAACAAAAATACTTGCTGTGTAAAAGATCTTCCTTTTTAAAATTTCTAGTATCAAACTGATATAACTTAAAAATAAACTGAATATTTTGATAATTGTAATTGCGATTTGATTCACATAATATGTATGTTTTATGGGATAGATGGGTAGAGCAAATGTGGTTGCTCTAGTGTGTAGAAGCTACTAGATCCCACAGAGACAACAAAATGGATACCTCTGCTACCTAAGTCTAACCTAACTGCTTTTTTAAATAATCCTCCACAAGCATGTTGAGATCGTTACGACTTGACCTTTGTGATTGAGGTCTCAATTGTTCTAGGAAAATGATGTTGAAGCAGAAACAAAGATTAGTTAGAATAAAAATGCTATATTCATTTAGTATTAAAATATTTGTCTCCATGAACTCAATACAAAAACTCATTTTGAATTCATACAATAATAAGAAGAATTTTAATTGAATTTGGTTTGGAATTGTTGAAAAACCTAGTTAATATTAGCAAACAAACATTTAATCAGTAAATATCATGGTCATACTGCTAGATGACCACCTGACTCACAACCGAGTGAGGAATGTCAATACCAGGATATCATGCCCCGGGCGCTACACACAAAGGGGCATCGAATTGTCTGCAAAACCAATAAATGCTGTATAATGTTTATTTTTATTATAATTGATTTCTGGAAAATATATTTGAAATAGTATAGTATAGTATAGTATAGTACCAATGAAATATCACAAATGTTAATTCCTAAAACAAGAAAGGGAAAAAAAAAGGAACATTGATATTCTAAAGCAAACTTTTTATTGTTTTATAACTCTGTGTTTTTCAAATATTACTTTATAAATATATAAAATAATTAACAGGTATCTTTAAACTAATTATAGATCATCATATACATACATTTCAAAATCTAGTCTTGTTTCCTCAACTACATTTTTGTCTCAAATTTAAAGCTTAGCTTGAGCCTATGACTTTATCTATTTAACTTTATTTATTGGTTAATTTGCGAGTATATTTTACATATAATATTATGTGGTTTTCAAAGGCGTGGGGTAGTCGCTGGGAACCACTTACTATACAATTAAGTGTTCATATTTGTAGGGTAAGATATTATAGAGGCACACCCCCATGACCTGTGACCTCCATTCCACCTACTCGTTTACTGGCCTTAAATAATTGTATGGTTACGTGTTTTCCAGGTATGTGTAAATAGTTCGTGATGATGTCGCTAAAGCCGAGGCACGTGGACTTCCAGGAGACATGGGCCAACCTCAAAGAGACCGTGAGTCGTCAACGCAACCTGTTCATTCACAACACATGAGGTACAAGGGATCCCCTTACAGAGCGTATTAAACTTGGGGTCGATAACCGTACCCAGGTGACGCCCTAAGGCCGCACTCGGGAGAGACCGCAGTCACGTTGCTGTCCGTCTTCGAGTTGAGGAATGGTTCTATTGCACCCCGTTTGTGATGCGAGCTCAGAGTCATATTTCTTTCTGATACCCGAACAGAACAAGTCACAGAAAACTGACTCGCGCATACAATAGCATTCAGATAGTCGCGCCATTCCGCCGAGAGACGCGACGCCCCACTACCGTGCCGCCCGCTCTACATGTGTTTGTGTGCGCCAGGTTGCGGGGGTGGTGGGGCTGAAGGCCGTGGACCGCATCGTGTGGAACACCCGCTTCTCTGACGTGTACGCGCTGTGCGTCGCTCACCCCGAGCCCCTGGCGGACCGGCTCTACGACGAGACCAGGTACCTACCCGCTCCTCGCTGTGTCCTCATCCTAACGAACGAGGACTGCGTCTGGTCGATTTAATGTTGTCCTCGCTTGTTGCGTTTGTAGGAACTTCTTAGAGGAGCACGTGGCAAGTCTGCTGGAGAGAGTTCGAGGCTCCACCACCCTCGAGCAGTCCGACCACAACGATGGACTACTGGACAGGTAAGGGGCCACACGCAGACGGACATGCATGTATAGCGCATACATTCACTTTAAATCAACAGTCTCAGGGACACATGATTTCTTGACTGCTCTCTCACTTCGAAAACTCAACTGCATTGTTTGCTTTCATTGTAACCGTTGAATATAGACGGGTTAACGCTTCCCGTCCACCCGGTGCGGAGTAGTTACCGGAGCCCGCGGACATCACGACGTTAACGTTCGCGTTCATAGTCTCACTGGTTGTATATATTGTAATGTGTGCGGTTGTGCGCAGGTACGTGTCGGCGTGGCGCGAGTACAGCCAGGGCGTGGCCTACCTCAACAGCCTCTACTCCTACCTCAACCTGCAGCACGTCAAGCGACAGAAGGTACGTGGACGCGGCCGCGGGGCTCCGCGCCTCCCGCTGGGGACGCACTCGCATCGTAACGTTTGTGTGCGCAGGTCTCCGACGCGGAGATCATATACGGCACGTCGGCCACGGTGAGCTGTCCCGAGCAAGACGCGCGACAACTGGAGGTGAGTGGGGCCGCGCCGGGGACGCGCCGGGGACGCGCCGGGGACGCGCCGGGACGCGCCGGGACGCGCCGGGTACAGAGACGGACTCGCCTGTTGCAGGTGGGCGAGCTGGGCCTGGACATCTGGGAGCGCGTGCTGGTGCGGCCGCTGTCCGCCGCCCTCACGGCGCGCATCGTCAGCGCGCTGCACGCCGCCCGGGACGCGCCGCCCGACCCGCGCCACGCCGACATCATCCGACAAGCCATACAGAGCACCGTGCACGTATGTACACCAGCACCCCACCAGCACTCCACCAGCACTCCGCCTCGGTACAGTCGCGTGCAGTGCACTTGATAAAATATGTAGCTGAAAAATTAAACAACAAATTATTATAAAATAGTTAAAAAAAAAAAAGTTGAATGAATGCAGGTCCGCAGTTTTCGCGTCCGGTCTCCACTCGCGCTGTACGAGCAGCTCGTGCTGGAGCCGTTCCTCCAGGCGGCCGGCGAGCAGCACGCCAGGACGGCGGCCCACTTACTGCAGGAGGGGGACGTCGCACATTACATGAAGCACGTTCTCGCAGGTACATACAAAATGTACTCACATCTCTGCTCTATGTACTGACTCTACCGCGCGAGCGACGACGCCGGGTCACTGACCTCTGCAAGTTTTAATAACGAATAGTAATTCTTTAGAGTAATATTATTATTTAGAAGTACATACATATATAAGTTAATTTAGCGTAGTAGTGTAATTGCAGACAATAGGTGTGTAGTAATTACAGGTAAGAAGTGAAGTACGACTTTACAATATTAAATTGTTAATTTTCAGCGCCACTGATTCCGGGGCGATCCTCTAATTCTGTTCCTTGTTACTTGTATATGTAAATATAAATCTATCTTAATCCTTTTATTCGTTACTTCAAAAATATTATAATTAGAAACCACAACTTCCACCACGTCACCAATCATCCTGCAGGCAGCACAGTACAGTACAATGGTTGTGCAGTACCACACAGTGGCAGTACAGTGCAGTAGAGTACAGTGGGTGTGCAGTACAGTACCGTACAGTGGGTGTGCAGTACAGTACAGTGGCTGTGCAGTAAAGTACAGTGGCTGTGCAGTACAGTACAGTGGCTGTGCAGTAAAGTACAATGGCTGTGCAGCACAGTACAGTACAATGGATGTGCAGTAAAGTACAGTACCGTACAGTAACTGTGCAGTACAGTGTATGTGCAGTGCAGTACAGTAGCTGTGAAGTACTACTACTACGGTACTCCGTACAGTGGCTGTACAGTACAGTACAGTACAATGGATGTGCAGTAAAGTACAGTACCGTACAGTAGCTGTGCAGTACAGTGTCTGTGCAGTGCAGTACAGTAGCTGTGCAGTACTACTACTACTACTACGGTACTCCGGTACTCCGTACAGTGGCTGTGCAGTACAGTACAGTACAATGGCTGTGCAGTAAAGTATAGTGGGTGTGTCGTACAGTGAAAGTACAGTGGCTGTGCAGTACAGTACAGTGGCTGTGCAGTACAGTACAGTGGCTGTGCAGTACAGTACAGTGGCTGTGCAGTACAGTACAGTACAGTGGGCGTGCAGTATAGAGTACAGCAGGTCGTGTCGTGTGCAGGGCTGGAGCGCGAGGTGTCGCTGGCGCAGCGCTACCTGCCGGCGTCGTCCCGCGAGGCGGTCCGCGCGTGCTACGAGCGCGCCGCGGTGGCCGCGCACCTGCCCGCGCTGCACGCCGACGTGGACCGCCTGCTGGCCGAGGCTAGCGCCGACGACGACGACGCGCCCCAGGTACGTGTGCCCGTGTACATGTACCTACATGTTATGTTCATAAATGTTCACGGGAAAAACGTTTCATAAATATGTCTTTGGTTAGAAATCAAATTCATTGCTTTACGCAGACCCAGCAACAGTAATTTTACCTCCGATTTGCAGAATAATTGATCTCTTGGAAGAGTACATAATTCAACTTTCATATAAATATGCTCTTGCAGACGCTTCATTTCCATTTGAAAACTTTCACAAGAAACTTTCGCAACTAAAAGAGTTACACTTTACCAACTGAACATAATTAGTAACAGATACATAACTAGTGGTTAGAAATTGCCCAGCGACACGTTCAGCGCTGGGGCTGGGCGGAGCACACTTAGAATAACAAATCTGTGGTGACGAGCAGCGCCGCGAGGACCTGTCCCGCATGTACCAGCTGGTGCGGCCCCTGGGCCCGGCGGCGCTGCGGCCGCTGGTGGACGCCGCGCTGGCGCACGCGCAGGCCCACGGACACGCGCTGCTCTCCAGCGCGCTGCAGCACCACAAGGACGAGGTCAGTGGGTGCCGCGGCCGGACCCGTGCAGGGCTCAGTCTAACAGTCCGCTCGGCTCCTTTGCATAACAGTTTGTGTTGAAGGTACACATACACTTCGTGGAGGCCATGCTGACGCTGCACGGCAAGTACAGCAAGCTGTTCAACGAGGTCTTCGGGGGAGCTCAGGCGTTCATGGGCGCGCTGGACAAGGTACCTGCACGTGGGGGGAGGGGGGGTCGTGTTGCGATGGGCCCCGGTGACGCTCGCGTGTGTGGTGCAGGCCTGCAGCGCCGTGGTGAACAGCCGCAGCGGCGAGGAGGCGTGCCGCGCGCCGGAGCTGGTGGCGCGGTACTGCGACTGGGTGCTCCGCCGCCGCCCCGCCGCCGCGCCCCTCACCGACGTCGACGACAAGCTCACCGCCGCCATCGTCGTCTTCAAGTACATCGACGACAAGGTACTGCGCGGCCGAACCGACCAGACGTATGTAAGGGGGGTCGGGAGAGGGGGCCGCTCCGGACACCTCCATCTCCAGTGCTTATCCACAATTAAGTCTTCCAATAGCATTTACATCTCTTACCCCGGCCCCCGGCCCCCCGCCCCCGCCCCCCGGCGGCGACTGACCGAGTGCGCGGCTCGTTGTTGCAGGACATCTTCCAGAAGCACTACGCCCGCGCGCTGGCCCGCAGGCTCATCCACCAGCTCTCCTACTCCATGGAGCAGGTACGTGCCCCCGCACGCACACTCGCACGCACGAGGTCGTGCGTTGTGACGTCACTTCCACATGTAGACATGCCCAAAACACTATTTAGACATTTTAAACATACATTTATTTCATTTCCTCACGAGTGATCACGGATACTTGCCGGCATCTTAGATATTTTAATAAATACAACTCACATTAGTTCCTGGGACATTGGTTCGAGCACTCCCGAGCTGGTGCACCTTGGCCGGCAAAGTGCAACAAGTGCATCTTATTAAACTGCATCTAAATACTGTGAATGTGTTCACGGATGTTCATTAATGATACCCACACACACATGCGCATCTACCGCTCTATCCGTGGGAAGACTCATCCACGCGTCTGTGGGTCCTTGACCCGCCGTGTTGCAGGAGGAGTCGATGATAAACCGTCTGAAGGCGGCGTGCGGCTACGAGTTCACCAACAAGCTGCACCGCATGTTCACCGACGTGGCCGTGTCCGCCGACCTCAACGCCAAGTTCCAGCAGTACCTGCGGGACAACGACCTCACGCTCAACACGGGCTTCTTCATCCAGGTGAGTGCGGGGGGGCCGAGCGGGGCGCATACATACATAGATAGATACATCCGGAGCACTCGCTGTGTGCAGGTGCTGCAGGCGGGCGCGTGGCCGCTGGGGGGGCCCACGGCTCCGCTGGCGCCGCCCGCCGCGCTGGAGCGGCCGGCCGGGCTGTTCGAGCAGTTCTACCGCAGCGCCTTCAGCGGGCGGCGGCTGGCCTGGCTGCACCACCTGTGCACGGGCGAGCTGCGCGTGCGCTACACCCCGCGCGTGTACCACCTCACGGCCAGCACGCCGCAGTGCGCGCTGCTGCTGTCGCTGGAGCGCCGCGACGCCACCACGCTGTCCGAGGCGCGCGCCGCCGCCGTGCTGCCCGAGGACTCCTGGGAGCGCCACGTGCGCCCGCTGCTGGACATCGGCCTGCTGCTGCCGGGCGCCGACCCCGACGAGCTGCTGCTCAACCTGTCCTTCTCGTGCAAGCGCTCCAAGCTGCGGCTGTGCGCGTCCCCGGGCCACGGCGCCGCCGCCTCGCCCCCCGACCCGCCGCAGCACCGCGACGACGACCGCAAGATGTACCTGCAGGCCGCCATCGTGCGCATCATGAAGCAGCGCAAGGTGCTGCGCCACACGGAGCTCATCCAGGAAGTGGTGCAGCAGGCGCGGGGCTCCTTCGCGCCCTCCGTCGCCATCATCAAGAAGTGCATCGAGGCGCTCATCGACAAGCAGTACCTGGAGCGCGCGCCGGGGGCCCTCGACACCTACTCCTACCTGGCCTGAGGGCGCCGCCGACGTTTCATACCTAGGCGCGGCGAAATATTTTTGTTTTTATTTTTATTTATCGGTCTCGGAGGTTTGTAAAAACTGTAGAACGTCTCGTCTGAACTCGTCCTCTCGCAGTCCCGCGGAGGGAGCCGAGACGTCGTCACGAGTCTAGTTTTGTATCGAGTAAATGAGTCGCCGTAAATATCCACCCGGTACACACACACTCACACGTACATATGCACGCACACACACCTACGCACTTGCACAAACACGCACACATGCACAACCACACACACGTGCACATGAACAATCACACACACGTGCACGCGCGCACACACACACACCCATATGCATGCACACGTACACACTCACACATGCAGGCACACACACACTTACACACGTACACATGCACGCACACACACTTACACACACACACACACACGCACACACACACACTTACACACGCAGGCACACACACACACACACACACACACTTACACATGCACGCACACATGCAGGCACACACACACACACACACACACACGTGCTCACACGCCTGTATCCTCCTGGGCCGTGTAGTTTCTCGTGTTCAGTCGCGGGCCCTCGTTGCTCTGCACAGTGCACTCTCCGCGCCGCCGGACTGTGGACGTGTCGGGCGGCGACTCCGCGGGAGGACGTCCCGATTGTTATCGATTCTAATAAAAATCTTGATAAATAAGAAATAAATACAGATATCGGACAAAGTATGGTCGGATTCAGTTGTTGCCCACGGTCTCCTCGGGCGCGGCTTGCACCAGCAGACAAGTAGAGATCATCACGTAACGAAAAGCGTTACGCCTCCCCCGTGCGACCGTCTCCCTCTCTCCCTCTCTCTCTGTCTCTCTATTGAACGAGTGTGGTGTGCGTGCGGCGGACGTGCGGTCTCGATTTTATAATATGTTATCATTTTACCAATAAATAAATATTTTTGCTAAAACACTACCGGGTACATATTTGGTAAGGAGCACCGCTCCCGGCGCGGCCCCCGGACCGCACGCGGCTCGCTCGTCGCGTTCAGTCCAGGGTTCGTTGACACGTGACGTCACGGCGCAGTACATTGCGCGCCCCGGCCCGGCCTGCACCGTATTTAATAGGAAAAGTTGTAGCGCCGTGCAGACGACGCGCAGACTCGTGAAACCGATCGATGAACGTTAGTTGTTTGAACACAAAGTGTAGAGTGTGTGTAGCCCACGGACAGAGACGGCCGGCGCGAACCCACGTGGCGTCACCTATGTTTTATAAATTAGTGTATTTAAATATATATTAATAGTTTTGGTAACAAATTGATTCAAAAAACACATAAAAAACTTGTTATTTTGTAATTAAAGATTATTTTAGATATTTAAGTTTTTTTTCATTACTTGTCTGTGTGTCACGCGGAGGATGATGTGGGCGAAAATATAATTTTACGTAACGCTTCCGAACGTACGAAACGGTGCACTTATCATCAGACGAGCGGTTTATTCGCAAAATATTGTTGAAAATTGTTGGTTTATTGATGGGTCACGCGGTGCCCGCAGTGCAGTGCGCAGTGCGGCCGCGCGTGACCACTTCCCGAACGTGCTAACAAAACTTAGATAATGTAAATTAGAATAAATAATGGTTTATTAATAAACAGTGTACAAATACACACCGGGAGTGTTTTATTGGGTCCCCGCTCGTCGCCGGCACGAGACCGTCATACTGAACCCGCAATGTACTGTGCACTATCGGGCGGGGCGTGAGATACGGTCGAGAGGCCGTTGACCCCTCGCCCCACCCGCTGTCTGATCACGTCGCGTCTCCCCATCGTTAGTGGCGGGGGCAACCCCTGCCGGATGGGACAGCTGCGCCGTGGGGTCCAAACCTTAGATAATTTACCGGGAAATATGGACGTTCATGTTTCCTAGAGCTTGTTGGGATCATGTGAGTACGTGGTGCGCTAGACGTTCTCACGACCCGCCCGCCATGAAGTTGTTACCGGAGCCCGCGGACATCTACGTCGACTCCACCTCGAGACAAGAATGAAGTTTTTTGAAGTGAAACTTCCTTATCGGCGTTGGAAAAAAATTTACCGTCACATTTTTCGGTTACGCGTCACATTTTCCGTTACGCGCCATCTGTTTTGTATTCATGTCTATGATAATAAAATCCTTTTGTTTAAACTTTATCTAATTTAACTTTTTTGTATTCATGTCTATGATAATAAAATCCTTTTGTTTAAACTTTATCTAATTTAACTTTATTTAACCAATTTCTAGAAAGTTGCATGTAGATCATTTTTCGAAAAATAAGGCCATAAA